CCCTCTTTGGTACAGCCTCCTGAGTGAACCTGGTGTTGCCAATTCGACACTCCACCAGGCCCGTGGGCGCAAAGGGCGGGCCTCTTCGGGGATCTACCGACCCGGGTCCATCCTAAAACAGAGCTAGGATCGGGATAAATCGCTCCAGAGCGTTCCGGAGCGCTCTCAGAGCGTTCCAGAACGCTCTGGAGCGGCCGCGGCGCCCAATACATCCTCCAAACCCGCCGATCCTCAGAGATTTCGAGTTATCCCGATCCGATTTTGTCCCGATCTTCGCGTCGTTTTACATCCAGACCCGGGTCAACGTGGCCTCGCAGGACCCGGCAGACTCTGGCAGAGGCTCCTGCGCCGACCCTGGCCCTGCAGAGGATCCCCGCAGGCTCCGGTGCTCGGACGGACCCCCGCCTGCCTGGGCCCCCGGCTCTCGAGCCCCGACCCCTCCTGACTACCTGCCAGACCACCCCAACCCAACCCGAAGACCCGAATTTCGGGTTGGGGGGGGTATGGGCTCCATATGTATTTTTTCGATGTTCACAGACCCCCCCCACTGGAAATCGAGGGTAAATCTAACCCTTCGGGTTGGGTTGGGGTGGTTTGGTGGGTGGTGACCTGCCCCCCCCCCCGTGGGCTGGGCGGGGGAGGGGGAGCCGCGAGCGGCCGGGGAGTCCAGGAAGGACCTTACCTTTACCAGCCTCGAGCGTATCCCTATCCGATCTGATATTGGCACGCCAAAAGGCGATGACAATCTTAGGGATTCGCCCTCAAACAAAAAGGGGAATCCCTAAGATCGGCATCGTAATGAGGAGGTGCCCAACATAGGGATAGGGATATGTTCCAGGCTGGTGATACGTGGCTCCACGAGGGCGCCGCAGGCAAATCTAGCTTCCTCCGGGAGCGCGCCCGACGGACCGGCCCGACATGGCCTCCAGAAGACTGGAGCAAGAAGCCCCGAAAAGACGGCCCCAGGATGGCTCGCTGTGGCCGCTGAGCCTCGCAGAGGTGCCCCCGAGCTGCCACATCGAGTGCAGCACAGAGCAGCGCCTGGAGCTGCGCCCCGACCGGCACGCAAGGGCATTCCACACTTCGTCTGGCGCCGGGCGACGGAGCCCGGGCCCCCGACATGGAGGGCCCGCTGCCCCTCTCGGCGGCGAGCGAGGGGGGGAAGTGAGAAGTGAGAAGGCATGCCCAGACGGCGGCGGAACTTCTCAGAAATCCTCGCGCCGCCCGAAAGGCTGTTGTTGTCTTCAGGGAAGGCTCCGGAAACTGCTCAGGAGGCAGGGGGCCTTCCGAGCCTTCTGCGAAGGCCCGCCCCTGCTCACTCCCCCCAGGTCGGGCATGTCCCCCTACAGGCGGATCCTGGACGAAAGAGAAGAAATGGGCAGAACATGTCACAGAGTGGTCAGACATACTGGAAACATCCTCCCCACACGGCTTTTGGCCTCTGCTTGAATATCCTCCTCCTGCAAATGGGCAGGCCCGACGCGACGCTCCCCCTCGGGGATCTTCTGACCTGGGTCAATCCAGACCCGGGTCAGCAGGAAACCAAAAACTGCAATGCAAGAAACAACAACTGCAACGCAGGTCTTCGCAAACCCGGGTCAGCCAACAGGCGCGGCCGCCTCGCGGCCACGAGCAGCTCTCGCTAACCCGGATCAACCAAAGGGGGTCTTCGCAGGATCCTGCAGGATCTGGCGCCCTGGCTGACCCCCGTTTGCATTGACCCCCGTCTCGAGGCTCCCGATGCCAGTGCTTCCATCCTCACCGGAGCGTTCGCGCGCGCACTCCCATGGCGGCGGCGCTGGCACAGGAGGTGCAGAAGACCCGGGAGGTGCAGGAGGACGAAGAGGATCTTTGGAGGCGCCCTGGCTGACCCCCGTCTGCACTGCCCCCCGTCTCGAGGCTCCCGACCCCGCCCCCCTCGCTCGCCGCCGGGCCCTCGTCGGCGCACGCACGCCCGGTGCGGGGCGCCGAGAGCCCCCGAGGTCGAGGGCCCGCTGCCCCCCTCCCCACCGTTGCCCGTGTAGAGCTACGTCGGGCCTGTGCCCCAACCGGGGGATCTTCGACGAGAAATGAAAAAAATGCCCCAACAATAATCAACAAATGCTCCAAATATAGTCTGGGGACTATTTCCCCATATCCTAAGATGGGGTTCTTGTTATTACTTGGACGCCTCCTACTCCTTCTCCTTCCTCCTCCTCCTCTTTTCTCCTCCCCTCCTGTCGGACATACTCAGACTTGCTCATACACAGACTTACTCATACTCAGACTTACTCATACTCAGACCTACTCATACTCAGACTTACTCACACTCAGACATACTCATATACAGACTTACTCATACACAGACTTACTCATACACAGTATTAGTCATACCCAGACGTACACATACACAGACTTACTCATACACAGACTTACTCATACTCAGCACCCCTAAGGGGAGCCGCCAGGGGTGGTTGCACGGGCTCGTTCGCGGCCATTTTGTGGGGATGTCTCAGGCGGTTTGCCTGTTTCTGTGCCCAACATCCTTCGCTTTCGGAGCAGATTTGGAGGATGTCTCGAGCGAGGCGCTCATTTCAGCACCCCTAAGGGGAGCCGCCAGGGGTGGTTGCACGGGCTCGTTCGCGGCCATTTTGTGGGGATGTCTCAGGCGGTTTGCTGTTTCTGTGCCCAACATCCTTCGCTTTCGGAGCAGATTTGGAGGATGTCTCGAGCGAGGCGCTCATTTCAGCACCCCTAAGGGGAGCCGCCAGGGGTGGTTGCACGGGCTCGTTCGCGGCCATTTTGTGGGGATGTCTCAGGCGGTTTGCCTGTTTCTGTGCCCAACATCCTTCGCTTTCGGAGCAGATTTGAGGATGTCTCGAGCGAGGCGCTCATTTCAGCACCCCTAAGGGGAGCCGCCAGGGGTGGTTGCACGGGCTCGTTCGCGGCCATTTTGTGGGGATGTCTCAGGCGGTTTGCTGTTTCTGTGCCCAACATCCTTCGCTTTCGGAGCAGATTTGGAGGATGTCTCGAGCGAGGCGCTCATTTCAGCACCCCTAAGGGGAGCCGCCAGGGGTGGTTGCACGGGCTCGTTCGCGGCCATTTTGTGGGGATGTCTCAGGCGGTTTGCCTGTTTCTGTGCCCAACATCCTTCGCTTTCGGAGCAGATTTGGAGGATGTCTCGAGCGAGGCGCTCATTTCAGCACCCCTAAGGGGAGCCGCCAGGGGTGGTTGCACGGGCTCGTTCGCGGCCATTTTGTGGGGATGTCTCAGGCGGTTTGCCTGTTTCTGTGCCCAACATCCTTCGCTTTCGGAGCAGATTTGGAGGATGTCTCGAGCGAGGCGCTCATTTTCACCCCCCAGGTGGGCCAGATTTTGAGGATGTCTCGATCGGTTTGCTAGTTTTGGTGGCCAGGCTCGTGGGCGCAGATTCTTCTCAGGATGCCACAGGAGGCTCCAACAGGCTCCAGGAGGCTCCAGGAGACCACATGAGGTCCCAGGAGGCATCAGGAGGCCACAGAAAGACTCAAGAGGCCACAGGATGTCCCAAGAGGCTCCAGGAGGCCCCAGGAAGCTCCAGAAGGCCTCAGGAAACCACAGGAGACCCCAGGAGACAACAGGAAGCGCCAGGAGGCCTCGGAAGGCAACAGGAGGCCCCGAGAGGCCCCAGGAGCAGGAGGCCTCAGAAGGCAACAGGAGTGGCTCCAATCCCATGTGTTTTACGTATGCTCCTATCGATTGGGCCTCACCTGGAGCACGATTCTTTGATGTTCTACGTATGTTTCTATAGATGGTCCTTCTCCTGTGTACACAATCCTAAATGTTTTACTCATGTTCCTATGTATTGGGCCTCTCCTGGGGCACGAGTCCTTGGTGTTTTACGCGTGTTCCTATAGATTGCCCTTCTCCTGTGGCTCTAATCCGCAATGTTTTATGTACGTCTGTTGCTATAGATTGCGCCTCCCCTGGGGCACGAAACCTTCCTAGGAGGTCCCAGGAGGTCCCAAGAGGCTCCTGGAGACCCCAGGAAGCCCCAGTAGGTTTCAGGAGGCCCCAGGAGGCCCCAGGCTCATGCACAGAGACGCGCTCGTACTACTGAGGCTCATTCACACTCCAATTCATTCGCAGTTAGATTGATGTCCAGACCGTCACAACTGAAGCCCGTTAATATTCGAAAGCTCTTGCGCCTAGACATTCACGGCGGACAGGTCCATGCGAGTAGATGCACATATGGGGAGCTCCACGCAGTGAATAATTTCTTAGTTTTTTTTGTTGCCTTTTTGGTGCATTTTGGGAGTATTTTGCATTTTTCGTCGAAAATCCCCCTGTAGGGGGACACGCCCGACAGAAGTGTAGAGGCGTCTGTGGTCCTCGGCCGTACGGGTCTCGTCTGTTCCGAGGCAGGCGCCCAAGGCCGGGCTCACGGCGATGCTGTCTACCCGCGGGTCGGAAGAGGTAGGCAGAAGCAGGAAGTAGAAGGCGTTGAGAGCAGATTGGGCCCCGCCCGCCCCCCCAGGAGGACGGAGAAGGTGAAGCCACTCGACAATTGAAGCAGGAGAGCGCCGAGGGTAGATTGGAATCCGGAACTCCAGAAATGCCCACCTTGGACGACCGATGGGCAACGGTGATGCTGGGAGCCTGGTTCTGCCACACCAAGCTCGCGCAGGACAGAGTATAGGAAATCACGAGCCACACTGTCCGACACCTCACATACACGAATGCGTCGAGTAAAAACGCCACGGTGATGTGCAGGAAACTTCGGGCCGCGCTTTCCTACAAACAAGTTGGCCACGAATCAGCCCCACATGCAATATCCGCAACCTACATCGCCGTGACCTGCATTGCCGTTAGCCTGTCTATGGAGGCGGTCCTGAACCTCAGGGATGCTGGTCACAGTGGCAGCCTGAAGTCACGAAAACGAAACTCGAGCAAATGGCAACCACATGGCCTCCTCCCCCTCCACCTGCGCATCTTGCAGGCCTGGGCTCACAGTGGGCAGCGAAACAAGTCACGGAGCATGCCTTGTGGCCGTCGTCTCCGCGCGGGCTGTCGGCGCCGTCTCCGTCCTTACAGGGGTAAGAAACACTCATGCGCACACAGCTCACTTCGGCCACGGCGAATGCCCTGCGACGTCCTGAGCACTGTGAACGTCCCCCTGCTTCAGTGGCGATCTGGGCGCTGCGGGGCAACCAGGCCAGGTCTACACTTCTATGAAAGCGCAAATGAATCTCTCGTAAACGATCTTCCCTGGTCCAAGGAGGAAATCATCGCGCGATGGGGTGGTTCAGAGTGCGTCCGGCTGAGCACTGAGCCGATCGGCTTTCATAGCTAGATTCTGACTTGCACCCGATGCAGCTGGCGACCTCTGTTGGGTGACCAAAAGGCCACCATGAGGCCCTGGGCAGTGTCCAGCCTGTCACCTTGATCTAGTCTCTCTCTTTCTCTCTGGATAAGATAAGCTGGATTGGATAAGCCCGCCGCAGGCGCCGACACAAATGAATTGAAAAACAATGATTGGATAAGATAAGATAAGATGGAATGGATTGGCCCGCCGCAGGCGCGGAAACAAATTAATTGATGGATTGAGTTTGGTGGATTGGATTGGGTGGGATAAGAAAAGATGGGACAATATGGGTTGGATAAGATAAGATGGATTGGATTGGACAAGATAGATTGGACAATATTAGCTGGATTGGATAAGAAAGCCCGCCGCAGGCGCCGAAAAACATGAATTATGAAATTAACGACATGCGTTAGCGCCGGGACGCCCGGGACACCCGGGACACCGCTCGGCCCAACTGGGACACCTCCCAGCCACCGCCCGACCCAACTGGGACACCTCCCAGCAATCGGCGGACGCGAACGGACTTTCGCTCCTACTTCGGCCAAGCTACAGGAGGATCACGCGCAGCTTCGCCTCGCCCGCCCGCACGACACGAACACGAAACCGAAACCGATTTCCCGGTGGGGGGGCTCCGTTTCACTGCGATCTCACCCCCCAACTTCCGATCTCCAGGAAGAGGGAAGAGAGAGGGGGGCAAGGGAAAGAAGAACGTGGAGAGGAAACGCTGAGGACCAGGAGCGGCCTGAACAATTCGGCATCTATATTCTGATCTCCTCTTCGTATCACTCGCCCTTTTTTCTCCTGTCCTACAGTCCGCGTGCTCCCGTGCGGAGCGCCGAACTAAAGGATCCAAGGGGCTTCTGCTGGCCACGGCGGTCCTCGGGCACGAGCCTGGTCCCTCGACCCAGGAATCCTCCGGCACGGCCCGAACAACCGCCGGCCCTTCCTGAGCCCAACGTGGCCCTTGCCTCAGCACCTTCACCGCAGGCCTCTGCAACTCGCCACTCGGGGGACAGGCAGGGAAGGGAACTGACGCTTTTTGTTACAGGCGCAGACGGGGTTCTGTGGCACGGCACGCCAGACGAGCGCCGGACGACAGACGAACGAAGGGAAGGGAACCGACACACACGTCACATGAGACTGCGTTCTGTTCGCCTTCCCTGCCATCGCTCGGACGTCCACGCCCCGTGCATGTTTCGGTTTCGCGCGGGTGTTTTGTTTGCTCGATGATCCAGGACGTTCCTCGATGGTCCTCGCCGAGAACAATGCACACGTCCGAGCGATGCCAAGTCTCCTCCCCCAACAAAAAAAACGAAAGCTGAGGCCCAGACGAACATGGCGATGCAGACTTGAACGACCTCCCTCGGCCCCTGGGCAGGAGCCAAAACGGAAGGGGGCTCGGGACACGGTCGGGTCGGAACACATCGGGAATCTCTGACATCGGCCGGCTCTAAGGGATGTACCGGGCGCCGCGGCCTTCCCAGAGCGCCCCGGAACGCTCTGAGAGCGTTCTGAATCGCTCTGGTGCGATGTACAGCAGGGGCTCGACCACAAGAAGCCCAACCCTGAGACCCCAGGACATCCACAGATGTTTGGCGTGGGAACGTCACGCATTCCATAACAGAACCATCGGAACCCAAGAAACCCAGGGCACCCGGGAGGCAAGCCAAGCGTGTCTTGGCATGGGCCTCCACTGTATCCCGATGCTAAGCCTACCCTGCGCGGCCCGCACGCGGACACGAACCAGAGCTCCGCCCAGGCGCGTGACTCCGGTGCCCTGTTCCCGCTCGAACGTTCCCCATTCGCACCGCCTCCCCACCCCTGCTCCCCTGCCATTCTCACTCTCTCCCTCCGCATCCCCCTTCCTCCACTTCTCTCCTCCTCGCCACTCTCCTCCTCATCTGGAGAGCGTTACTGTGGACCTCGCAAGAGCTCCGAAAACTCGCCGTGGGAGGCGCGGAAGCCTGCCCAGAGCCGTCAACTGTCAAGAGCGGTGTTTCCTGAAGTTTCCTCCAGGAGACGGACCAGGATCAATCGGCGGCGAGCGAGCGGTGCAAGTGGGACGGAGCGTGCCTTCTCGGAGGGTGGCGGGACTTCTCAGAACCGCTCCGACCTTCTGAGAGGTTTGCTGTGTCTTCGGGGAAGGCTGAGAAAACTTCTCAAAGGCCGGGGGACTTCCGAGCCTCCTAACAATGCCCGCTCCCTCTCACATCCCCCCCGGGCTGGCCGCCGAATCAAAATATAATACCTATACGACCACCCTGCGGGTGAGAAGGAGGTTTGGGGGGGAGGGGGCCAGGAATGGGCAACAGTGGTGACTGTTGTTCTGACGATGCCAGTGGAGATAGTTGCGTTTCGAGCTCGCTCTTGGGAGCCTTGGTGTCGAGTTGTTTACGTCACCCTTCGCTCTTGGGCGCCTTGGTACCAGTCCCCCCCCCCCGGGAACCAACGAAGTAATACATGATTTTGTTCATTTTGCAAGGGCTTTGGGGGCCGTTTGGGTGCGTCTTGTGGACCTCTTGAGGGGCTCTTGGGGGCCTCTTGGGGAGCCTCTTGGGGGCCTCTTGGGAGCTTTTGTGGGCTTCTTTGGGGCCTCTTGGGGCCTCCCGGGAGCTTCTTGGAGCGACCCTTAAGAGCCTGTTCCGCCAACCTTCGTACTGGGAGCCCTGGTGTTCAGAGACTGTTGCGTTGCCGCTCGCTCTGGCACAGCATACAGACACGCGATGTCGATGTGCCTGACGATTTGCATTTGCATTTGCTTATAGATGTGCATGCAGATTTGCTTTTCGATCTGCATTTCGATTTGCACCTCACTTTCGGTCTCACTATCGATCTCACGATCGATCTCACTATCGACCTTACTATCGATCTCACTCGATCAATCTCACTATCGGTCTCACTCGAGCGATTTCACTGTCAATCTCACTCTCGATCCCATTTTCGATCCCACTATCGATCTCACTATCGATATCACTCCATCGATCTCACTATCGATCCCACGATCGATCTCACTCCATCGATCTCACTATCGATCTCACTATCGACCTGTCTATCAATCTCACTCGGACGATCTCACTATCGATCTTACTCAATCGATTTCACTATAGATCCCACTATCGCTCTCACTATCGATCCCACTATCGATCTCACAATCGATCTCACTCGATCGATATCACTATCGATCTCACTATCGATTTCACTATCGATCTCACAATAAATCTCACTATCGGTCTCACTATCGTTTTCGCACCAGCGGGACACCGGGACACCAGCGGGACACCAGCGGGACACCGGCGGCGGTCGGGAAACATTGGGTCCGGCCGCGCCTCAGCCACAGGAGACTTACCGGGACACCAGCGGGACACCGGCGGGACACCGCGCGGCCCCGTTTGCCGGGGGGGAATCTTTTGGTCTGGCCGCGCCTCAGCCACAGGAGACTTTCCTCTCGCCCGCCCACGCAGCTTCGCCTCGCCCGCACGCACGGCACGCACGAACACGAAACCGAAACCGATTTCCCGGTGGGGGGCTCTCCGTTCCAATTCGATCTCACCCCCCAACCTCCGATACATATACATGTATACATGCATACGCGCATACATGCATACATGCATACATACATACATACATCTATATCAGAGTGAGGGGGCCGAACGGTAATTCACTGTCCCTGGGTGCGTGGCTGAAGTTGGGATCCACGGCGAAAATTCTTGTTGTTTTGTTTTGTTGTTGTTGTTGTTTTGTTACGTCGTCCCACCCACCCCGCTCCGCGACACGCCCGCGACCCACCCGCGCGACCCACCCGCGACCCACCCCGCGACCCACCCGCGACCCACCCCGCGACCCACCCGCGCGACCCACCCGCGACCCACCCGCGACCCATCCGCGACCCACCCCACGACCCACCCGCGACCCACCCGCGACCCACCCCGCGCCCGCCCCCTCACTTTTATCCGCAATTGCGGGGTGCTATATATGAGTATATATATATACACATATGTATATGCATACACACACATATATATATATAGATTCACATGTATTTATGTATGTATGTATGTATGTATATGCGCGTTGTCTGTGCGAGAAGCAATGAAATGGGGGGACAACATTAATACCAATGACACGCAACCAAATGGAATCAACGTGTTACTGCGGAGGGAGAACACCGGGCTTCCAGACACGGCCACACGAGGAACATGCCTCTGAGGTCCCGACGGCGGCGTGCCACTTGTACTTGTTGTTCCCTCCCGATGTGGGTGAGGACGCGGAGGACGATTGGGACGTGCACAAGCAGGATGTGGAGTGAAAACCTAAGGATGACGCATCAGGGTCTGTTCATTGAGGCATCCTCGAACCTAAAACACGAAGAGCAAAACGTGCGGAACAGAGTGGAAAACCTCTAGGAAGCGGCAAGAGAATCTCATTATACCCTCGATACGTAAGAATACCAGATCCAATCCTCCGCCCATTCCTCCCTCGTGGACGGCGGTTGGTGGTGGAGGGAAGGAGAGGAAGGGGAAACTGATTGGATATTGCAACGCGGATGTAACAAGGACATGACAAGACAGGACAAAGAGTCTGCGTGCCAACTTCGGTAGCCGGAGCGGCCCCCTGAGGGACAGACGTGCATATAGAAAGAGGGACACGTGCATCAGGTGAAACCGAGTGCATGCAGGGCCGCTCACGCATCCAACGAATCCATCCATCTCAGACGAGGTCGCCCTACAGAAAGAGGTCGCCCTCAGAAAAAGCGAACCAGGAGTACCGAGGACTCCTAGGAACTGCTCTCTCTGAAAGCGGTGCTGCCTCTACCCTCCCCCCCATGCCATCATCGCCCCCTCGCATGAGCAATAGAGCGGCCCAGGGCCACACAAACAAATAGGAACAAATCCCAGGATTCACCATGTACAATATTTTCTTTACATAAGGATCCCAGGATTCACCAGGAACAAATCCCAGGATTCTTCCCCCCCACTTCCCATATTTTCGAATCCTTCCGGGGGATCTACGATTCTTTGTTCATTGGTCGATCTTCCCTCCTGAACTGAGGCGGCCTCCAGCGGTTGCGTTCATTTGCTCGCATGTGAACCCTCAGCCGACTCCTGGTCTCTGTTGGGAGGCAACTCCTGAGATGTCTTCGCACACGTACGATCAGGAACTGTTATGATTGTCCAAAGAAAAGACCCCTAACTCTTTGGGGGGGGCTAAGTCAGGAGGGCCAGAAACATCAATTAGGGATAGGGGGTCTCTCTTGCAGATGTGCCAAGCCAAACCGCCCAGGCATATTATCCCTCATGTGAAGACGGGGACCTCAGTGAGGCTACGTCTTCATCGTGTTCTTAAGTTAGGGATCCTTTCGTTCTCAAGATGTTAAGCCTATGTGGAGCCAAATTGGCCTACTTGAGCCCCAACGCACGACACATTCAAATCGAATCAGGACGGAGGGGACGGGAATGAACCCGATTCGGTAGGAGTGGGCCCAAGGGAAGGACGAGAACCGATGTCGAGTTTCAACCTCCCAAGAACTGCAGCCCAACCCCTGGCCAGCCTGAGCAAGATTGCATCGCGAAAGCGGATCGGACCAGAAACGGATCGGACAGTCAGCGAATCGTGCAGAGTCGAATCGAAACCAGATCGCCGCGCCAATCTCTGGCTGGAACCAAATCGAACCGACTGAAAATCGTGCACCCCGCCAGCGAATCGAACCGCACCGAATCGGATCGCAAGGCGGCCCTGCCTGGCCTCTGGGCAGCCCCCCTCGGCAGGCGGCGCTGCTCTAGCGACAGCGACCGCCTCGCGACGGGCTCGTGGGAAGCGCTGCCCTGGAGCCTCAGCGAGTTCGCCTCCGAGTTCGCGCTCGAGGCTGGACGAGAAGGCCCGTCGAAGTCGCCGCAGGAGGTGGACCGTCGGCTTATCTTGGGACACAGAGAGGCACCGATACCGCTACTCCCTGGACCACTCCTGGAGTGCGTTCTGACCAGGATTTCGAGGCGAATCCAGCGGTGGCGACGACGGGGGTACCTTTCCCCCCTCTGGTTATCGAGCTCGCCCTCGAGCATGGCGACCGCGGGCGGGCCGCTCGAGCCGAGGCCGGTGCGGGGCCGGCGCGCCCGGTCCGCGCAGACGGGGCCCTTCTGCTGCTCGGCCCGCTCTTCCCGGGCTCCTCCGCGTCCTGGCGGGGGGGGGCGGCGAGACGCCTGCTTGCGCCGCCTCTGGGAGGCGTGGAGCAGGAAAGCACGAAGGGGAGGGGGCGAGCGCAGTCGACCCGTACAGGAACGATGCGCGATAAGGATGCAACGGCCATGGGCGCCCATCTCGAAGCTTTGCGAGCGGGGCGCGGTCGACGAAAGTGGCGAAGGATGGACCGAGGATGCAAAGATGCAAGGGTACACTTGGGAAGGTTGCCCATCCTTACTATTCGGGTTGACTGTAGCATCAGCGCAATATTGCTCCCATGCATGTGCACGGTGCTCGAACAGGCTGACACGCTGGGCGGATAACAAGCGTTGCACCAACACGAACAGTCGGATCACGACCAGAAACAGCTTGTGGTCAACTACCAAAGCGAGTTCTGGAATACAACGGCGGCGGTATAGACAATAGCGGTGGTGGTGGCATTGCAACACCGCTGAAATGATATCCACATACACATCTGTGAGCTCAGGGCAGACGGCTCAAACTGTAGTCACCATGGTCTTTGGGCCTGAGAGCGCGTGGTTTCGGGTTCCAAGACTGAGGGCCGATGGCGCAGTGTAAAACAATTGCGGGGGATTTCAGTAACTTGTAATATGCCCTAAACCTCAAATAGCCAAGACAATCCTTGACCAACAAAAAGACTGGAACCTTAATTCGCAGGGCCGTCATACTAGCGCGCCTTTAAACATCAATCACGATATCGTAAAGCAAATGCCCGACGCTGCAGCTAAAAAAAACATGGCAACAATGACGTGGATCAACAAAACGAACACATTCGCCGATTGGCCCCAAACCTCATGGAGATACCGCAAACAGAGATCATCCAACTGTGGCGATCCCACACACAAAGAACAGAAGGGCAACCTTGCACAAAGAGGATTGATCTGAACCCTCGTGCCAACTATAAAGGACGAGGACAGCCATCGCAAGAACCATTTCAAGGAGAAGCTCAGGGAGGAACAGGATTTGGATTAACAGGAGGAGCGTGAGGAGAAGAAGGGAAATATAAGGCTGTGGAGTAGGAGGGCATGATGAGAACGACAAGAAAGAGACGAGAGGGAGACCCCGAGCTGCAAGGTAGCAGAGCAACAACCGCAGACATGAGACTGCAGACGCGAGAATTCTGAGCGCGACCCTCCTCGAGGAGTATCGACCCACACACCTCCGGGCGCACCCCAACCCTGAAGCGAACCCAGGCATCGTCGGAACGCTTGGACAAACGACGAGGCAGCTCGGGCTCACGCTGACGTGGACTAGGGATCCGTAGATCTGTCGAAGGGGCGCCAGACCCACAGATCGGGTAAAACACCCCCCGGAACATGGCGTCAATGCCTCCCGAAGCGGCGACGGTGCGCGCCGATGATGCACGGAAACTGGGCTCCGCGCTAATCCACGATCCACGCTGCCTTCATCCACGTCTGCGTTCCACTGCGCCAGGAGGCAACGAGCGGGGAGGCGCCTCCTGCACCCTTTTCCCCCTCGGCCTCGTCCGCCTCCTCCGACCTCTGCCCCTTCTCCGCGCCCTCCGACTTCTTCTGCCCGTCGCCGCCCTCCGACTTCTTCCGCTTGTCGCGGCGGTCCTGACCAGCTCGGGCACGAGCAGGAAGATGAACAGATGAAAGGTAGGCCACATAACCTGAGTGAACAGAAGAACCGAACTTACACATCAACAACACACAATCGCCATACATTGCATCATTCCTCCCCCCTTCAGCACTCACGCGAGCTCGGTCGAGGGTCTCGGCGGCCATGAACAGAAATGTTCTGAACTCCGCTCGTATTTCTTGGATTCGCGCTGGAGAGCCCCCTCTCCCTTCTACTCCTCTCTCCCTGGGAGGGAACGTTGGTGGACCGCCCTGGGGGGAAAACGTCGAGCTGGAATCGGCGATGCTGTGCCGACAGATCGGCGATGCGTCCCCGATGGCAAATCCGCACGGTCGTGGCCGGGGCTGGGCCGTCGGGCCCCCATCGGCGATGAATGGGCGACAAGGGGAGGGCGATGCTTCCCCCCATTGCCTACCCCCCATACCCCCCCCCCCCTCACGTTGCCCCTGAACTGAGGAGGGAGGGAGGGAGGGAGATGGGGGGGAATGGGCTAATTCCCCAATCAGTGCTTGCACTCACAAGGTCCTGGCAGATATCAAAATATTTGGCGAAACTTTCCCGCCGATTTTGGTAGCCGGCCGGGTTCCCGGGTTCCCGGTTCGGGGTTCCCCGGTTCCTGGATATTGGTTCCGGGCCGATTTCGGTGGGTTCCGGATTCCCGGGTTCCCGGGTTCCCGGTCGATGTCCTTCGATCTCTTTATCGATCCCACGATTCATTATCGATCTCATGATCGATCTCACTATTCATCGCACTCAATCGATCTCACCATCAATCTCATCAAGCCATCCACTGATTAGGTTTTCTCAGGTGTAATTAGTCATAATCAATATTGGCGAGTTTCAGAGGGTCTAGGGAGATCCTGGAGCGTCCAGGGACTCCTCCACCTGTTCCTCCTCCGGCTCCTCCTCCTGCTTCTGCTCCTCCTCCTGTCCCCCTCCCCCTGCATGTGCTCACGACAATGTCCCTCCTGCTCCTTCCTCCCTCCCTCGTCACGCACATCACGAACGGTGCACTCGATTCGCTCCAGAGGCCAATCAAGCGAGAGCGGCCGTCCTTCTTGGCGTCCTTCTTGACGTCGTTGTTCTCCTTCTTCTCCTTCTTCTCTTTGACCACTGACTTGGTCCGCGACGCCTCGAACCCGCCCCGCGCTCACGGCGGCGTCAAAGGGTTCCAGGGCACCGGGCAGAGCGCCATCATCGTCGAGGTCAGAGACAAACAAACACGCTGAGCGTGAGGCCAATCTCGTCTCCGCCCGTCCGTCAGGTCTGCCATTGTGATAGCTAGTGTGCGGCCCCCCGTCGGCGGCGCGCCCATGGGGGACGGCAGAGGGGTAGAGCCTTCTCAGAACGCACCTGATAAGCTGCCGAAGCCTCCCCCGAAGCCGCAGAGAGCTTAGCAGAAGGGCGAAGGGCTTCTGAGAAACCCCGCCGCCTTCTGAGAATAAAGCGACCCCAGGACACGCAAATAAATACACACAAATAAAACTATTCCCCATCTTTTCCCATATTTTCTGGGTTTTTGTCTTCCCCCCCACTTCCCATATTTGCCCATACTTTCCTGGGAATCGACGATTCCTTGTGTCTGTGTGTTTTTTCCCCTCCTGAGAGAAGGCCTGCCCCCGCTCGCTCCCCCCCCTCGGCGCGGGCCGACCCCTGCAGCCCATGCGTCAACCCTTCACAAACTGAGCGAGGGCGGCCGGAAGCCCGGGGGCAGCCCAAAGCGCGACGAGCCATCCGAGCTCCAGGCGCCGAGGCAGAAACAAGTCCGAGTCAATCTAGGGAGCCCACAAAGGACGTACGCGCCCAGCTATGTATATGAACACCGCCCCTCGATCCGCGAGACCGGCCGCGTTATACGAACATTTGCGCAATGCGTACTCTCGAAACCAGCGTGGATCCATGTACATGTACGTCCTTCTTTCGCTCCTGACAATCGGGCGCCCACCAGGCACCGCCCCTCGACGCAGATCAGCCCTGCACAGCGGCGGCGGCCACCAGCAACGCCCGCGCATCGGCAAGAGTCCAGGGATGGGCAGGGGGGGAGGGGAGGGGGGGCAGGAGGGGAGCCACCTCCTGACACTTCCCTCTTTGGTTGGCCGTGCAGCGGTACTCCTGAGGTCCCCTGGAGAACCCTCCGATCAAAGATGACAAGCGGGACAAATCCATCAGAACTTCTTCTCGCACATAGAACGACAAGAAATGTCAAAATCCGTTCGGACGCATCGTTCGATTAGCGGTCTGGCTCGTCATAGTCCCGCGATGGATGGAACGCCAGCCGACACCTCAAAACTTGATCATCGTTCTTACTGTCTGGCTCGAGTGTCCTGTATTGTTGCTGGTCGGCGTCGCCGGCTCAGATCCAGCAGCAGCGGAAGCAGCGGCAGCAGCAGTGGACACGAACGTGTCTGAAAATCCGACCCCGGGGCGCGTCCTTCAGGTCGGACTTCTTGCCGTCCCGCTTGGCGCCCTTTTTCCGGCGGTTGCCGGAGGACTCGTCCTCTCGGGTTGGCGCGGTATCGCGAAGGGTGGAGGCTGGCGTGATGGACAGAATCGAATCGAATAGATCGGATCGGCGATCAAAATTAATCGGATCGGCGGAAATGGGCAGTCAAGTCGGGAGAAATCGGATCGGCAGAAATCGGAAGGCTAGTAGGGCCTCCGTTGGGAAACTGGAACCCAACATAACCGAACTCAAACACGATTCGAATCGGAATCGGCGAGGGAAATCGTTAAATCCTCGTCGATCGTGGTGGATCATCTAAGAATGATAAACCTAAGTTCATTGTCTTTCGATGATACCCTATGGATTACTGTCCTGTGAACGGATCGGGCTCAAGCCCCCCTCGGCCGAATCATCTTTCCGGAATAATCAACTTGATATAATAGTCCAACATGATGGACAAACGTTTATTTCAGTCCGGAATGTACTCTCAAACGGCGCTCCCCAGGCTCAACCATTATCATTCCAGAATAATTAACCCGGGCTAAGAATTCCAGTAACATTATGAATCTGGTATAAATATCTCCGGTAGATAATGAACCGGGGTCGATATTCCGACATGAAAAATCTAGTGGTGAACCCGGGGGTTGGGAGGAAAATAATAATTACTATGATTCCGGAATTACGAAAAACCGCATTCATTATTCCCGGGACATTGTGAACCCCAGGCAACACTCCCCGAACATGATGAACCCAAATTAATATCAGTTTGGGGTCAATATACCCCAAACATTCTAAACCCAGGTTTACAATGTTCTTCTATAATGTTCCGGGGGGAACATTATGAATCCCAATCAATATTCCAAGAACATTGAAACCCAAGATCATAATGTTCAGGGCGAGACATTATGAACCCTGGTCAATAATCCCAAAACAATCTAAACCCATGTTAATATCTTTTTGAGGTCCATCCTGGAATCGGCATCGGTAGACACAGAATCGCGTCGAGTCGGAACCGGAATTTGCCCTGCTGCAGGTGCCAAAAGGCTGAAGAGAGAGATCCGACGGCGGCGGCAAGCGCCTCCGACGGGGACGGCGACCGCCTCCTCGCAGCCTCTACGATACGAGGTGGCGATGAGAGATAGAGAGAGAGCCTCCTGTGGCAAGGCACGCGAGCCTCTCGTGTCGTCTTGCCAGCTATTGCGAATCCACGCCGACCGACGCCAAATCTGCGCTGAACCTGTGCCTTCTCATGGTTTGATGGGCCGATTTTCCACCACCACTACCATAGGCAGGAGAGGGAGGAGGAAGAGGAGGAGGAGGACCTTCCCATCCTCCCTTCTCCACCGTCCTACCTTTGGTGGTGGTGGTGGTGGTGGTGGTGGTGGTGGTGGTGGAAAATTGGCCCATCATGTTTGGCTGCGAGAACAATCGCGCACGATCGGATCATTCATCGTGGCTAGGGAACCTCACGGAGCGCGCCGCCAAGCGGCAGCAGCCCGGGCTCCCCCTGCTCCGCTGGGCCGCCAGAAAAAAACAGATCGCAGCGCGGTGGGTGAGGAGAGCATTGTATATTGTATATGCGAAATGAGAATGATGCGAGGCCAAATCTTATACACCACCACCGCCCACAAAACAAGCAATCGCAAACATGGCTTTAGGTAAAGTCATGCCAGACGAGGCTGCGACTCCGCGGCGAACCAGAGAGCGGCGCAGCGCCCCGGAGCCGTGGTAGGGGAGCCCCTGAATCAGGAACAGCCCTTCTTGGTGGTGGTGTATGCAGGTCGTTCCTCTTTGTAGGCAAAACTATATAGACCACCACCGCGCGTGTTTTGACGATGTCTGGTTCGGTCCTTAGGAGGGAGGGGGCAGCCCGGCTGCCGATGGCGGCGGGCAGGGGGGCTGCAAGTTCTCCACCAAAGCAAACTGCACCAACTCGGATCTTAGATTTTTCCCGATCTTGGTGGTGGTCATATACGGCGCTCGGAGGTGAGGGGGCCGAACGGTCATACGTTGTCCCTGGGTGCGTGGCAATCTGGCGTTTCGTCTAGCGGAGTCTGCCTGTTACACTGTTGAAGTCGTACTGTTGGCCCCCCCCCCTTGGGAAAGCCTATAGTTTGTGCAATTGAAGTGCTCCTCCCTGGGCTCACACCTTGTGTTTCACCAGAGACAGTCTCGCGACTACGACTTTGCCCCGGGCCCCTGGCTTACAACAACAGTGGCTCCCGCCTGACACTCACTCACAATGTATTCCAGATCGCGCTCTCGCGCAGGCCTCTTCACAATTCATCCAGGAACCGCTCTCTCGCACGGGACCTCCACGTAATGTGTTCAAGCACCTGTCAATCGACACCCAGGCATCGCGCTCTCGCTTTGAGCTTCCTCATGAGTTGCTTGGGTATCGCGCTATCGCTCGCAATCCATGCAAGACGGACGCTTCATTGGCACGCCCTCTCGACTGGGCCTGCCCGCCCAGACCGCCCGTCAAGGTCCGCCCGCCCGACCAGCCCGTCTGGTTCAGCCGCTTGTTTTCCCGCTCATAGCCCCTTCTGCTTCTCATCCCTCTCGTGCTCCATGCTCGGGTTACCGAGGATTTGGGATATACGTGCGGATTGGCGGGCGAACAGATAGTTAAGACAGAACAACACAAACATGATTGTTGTTGTTGCTGTAGCGTTGTCGTCGTCTTCGCCCGCGACCCACCCGCGCCAGCGACCCACCCGCGACCCACCCCGCGATCCAACCCGCGACCCGCCCGAAACCTACTGGCGACCCACCCCGCGCCCGCCCCCTCACTCTTATCCGCAATGGCGGGGTACTGCGTAAACTACCCCAGACGGGCGGCGATAACTTGATCCCTCTGTGTCTGTACCCCTAGGGGGCAGAGCCACGTAGAAAACACATTGTCATGAAAGAATGCCAGAGTGCGAATGCTTCCGCAACAAAACAGGACGCATGATACACCGCACGAATCTACGATAAGCCCCACCCGCTCACGTTGAGATGGTACGATCAGAAACTCGTGCTTAGAGAGTCGCGGCAGCGGCCCTGGCGACACGCTATGCCATGCAAACGAATAGCGCGTCGCTCCTCTCCGCGGGACGGGAAGCTCGGAAGAGCTCGGGACATTGACGCCTGCGGACGGGGATGTGGTTAGCGGGTCGCGCCGAAGCGCGCTGGAATGCGACATGCAGGTAGGAAGCCCCGTGCGCGCGGAGGTGTGCCCTGGCCCCTGCTTTCTGGGATGGCGCCCTCCCCGGGGGGCTGCCTGGGCATCCGATTCCTAGCATTGGGAAAATGGAAACTGCATAAACATGGCCTGTCGGAACTCCGTGCAGATTTCTTGGATCGGCGCCGGGCCCCCTCCATGGCGCGCGAAGCGCGCCTGGGGCAGCGCCAGAGGCGCCGCCAGGGAAGTCTGGCGCCCATCCGAAAGATCCACGCGGCGTTTCGACCATCCATGTTCATGCCGCTGTCACTCCTGCGACACCTCGGCTCCTCTGGGGCGCTCAGGAGGAGAGCCCAGCATGGCTCTCTTTGGCCCTCTTCCCACTCCAAAAAGTGCCCCTCTCCGGTAGAAGAGGACAAAAAAGACTACATGTGAACTCAAATGGTTGGCGCTCCGCGCGGACTTCTTGGATCTGCGCTGGGCCCGCCCACCGCCCTGGCGCGCCAAGGGCGGCGCCAATGGGCGGCGCGGGAGACGCCGCTGGGGGGGCCCCTGCGCGGATCCAAGAGATCGAAATCCGCGCGGAACGCCGAAAGTTTTGTGTCTGGCGTTTTCCTTCTTCGACTCAGGAGGAAAGCCCAAAATGCCTTCGCAGCATGCCTTTCGCCAGGGCATCTCGGGGGAAAGAGGGCGCGTGGACAGCCGGCTCGCTCAGGCCCCGTCGCGGTCTGCAGAAGCGTGGGGCAGTCCCAGGGCGGTCGCGCGCAGCGTGGCTCCTCCCCTGGCGGCCGAGGAGTGGTGCAGAGTGCTGATGGGGGCCCAGGGGTACACAGATAAACATACGCAAAACTCAGGATTCCCAACATTTCTTCGATTTTCGGGATCTTCGTCTTCCCCTGCCATCTCCCATACTTTCTATGTATTCCTGGGGATCAACGATGCTTTCTGTCCGTGTGTGCCTTCCGTTTCCTTTTAAAGCAGAGTCTTCCGCCGCGGGAAAGGCCTGCTGCCCCAGGACTACTGGAGCACTCATACCGCCGCGTGCCACCGTATGATGTGTATACGGCTTCCAGCAGCCATGGGCCGGGCGTCCTCGGCGACGGGAATGTCTAACTTGCGCCGCTCATCGTCCGCTAAGCTTCTGTCATGTGCGGGCGCAAGGGTCCCATCGTCGATCCTCATCCTACGCCCCCACCGTCTTCCACCGTCCTCCTCCTCCTCCTCCTCCTCCTCCTCCTCCTCCTCCTCCTCCCTCCTCCTCATGGTGGCACTGCTGCCGCGATGCCTCGCTGACCTGCTTCTTCGGGGAACGTCGGCCCTTGCCCTCCTTTCGGCGCTTCGAACTCTTTCGCTGCGAAGCCTGCAGGCGGAGAGGGCAGGACGGGCGGTCAGAGAGAGAGGCGGGGAGGCGGAGGGGGACCAGGGGAAAGAGGGGATAGAAGGCAGAGGGAAATGGGACGAGAGTGGAAGGGGTAGGGGGCGAGGCGAGGGAAGAGAGGCCGACGAAAGGGGGAAATGGGGGAAGATAGGAATAGGACGAGACGAGAGAACTCGGGGATGAAAGGAAGACTCCGCGCGAAACCCGAGGGGAGCGACACACAAGGAAAAAAACGCCCGCCCGCCGCAATGTCGTGAGCCACAGGGAGGGGGGGCAGGGCCACAAGCCACGGCAGCCCGTGCCCCAGCGGCACGCCGCTCGGCCCACCACCGCAATCCCGCCCAGACCTTCCAGACTGGCATGCAGGAAGCGGTGCCCTCAGGGACTCGGGCCCTGGATCTGGGGCCCTCCTGGGACAAACTCTTCGCTCGCTCTGAACCGTCTGCATGGGACGCACAGGGGCATACTGATACTATATATGTCCTCCTCGGAGGCGCGCGTCCGACTCGCACATGCAGTATACCCATCTTGTAGTACTTCGTTTCCCGAGCGGTGTGGCCAGAAAGCGCCCGCCACGACGCTTGTACTACAAGATTTCTCGGTGCGCCCGTCGCCCCAAGGAGAGCGGCGCACACAAATATCAGTATGTTGGGGTGACGCCGATCTTCAGGCCGTCCCCGGAGGGCACCGAGGACCCGCGGACGGCGAGAAGCCTAAGGAGCGGGTGCCCTCAAGACCCACCAAGGGGAAACAGAAGGCAATCGATATACTGCCACTCCCTGGACCTTTCCTGAGGATTCATTCTGACGAGAATGTCGAGGATCGGCAACATTTCGAGGAGAAGTCCAGCCGTGGCGACGAGGGCTCGCAAGGACGAGCATCGGAGCAGGGCCAGCTTAGACGACGGCGGCTCAAAATCGATCTCGGGACCTCCCCCGGGTCCAAGCGAGCCGGGTTTGCGACCCGCGTCGAGCCGTGGCGACGAGAAAGACCCCCGAAGGCCAACTACCGCTGCCTCGACGCCTGCTCCTCTGAGGGCAGCGGCACACGCCGGCCGGAAGAAATGGGCAAAAACATGAAGCAAGGAGGCGGATAAAGTAGATTGGGTTCAGGCCCTCCCACAGAGTCACACAACACGGCAGTAACACATCGACTCTTGAAGTAGGAAGGCGCTTGAAGCAGACTGGGGTTCGGGAATCCAAGAGAAATCCTACCTTCAACGACCAGCGTGTGTGGTGTCTGTTTAGAGGAGCGCGTTCCACTACGCGCAAAGTAACTGCTCGCAAATGGCCTGGATCCGCCGCGGGGGATGCGGTCAAAGCGTCGGGGCGATACGTTTTTCAAGCGTTTGCGAGCAGGCACTTTGCGAGCAGCGGCAACGCGCTCGGCGCATGCTCCCCCCCTGCCTCTGCTGGTTGGCACCCGGAGGCACCCGGCCGGACCCTCTGGCCCCGCGCCTCCCCGGCGCACGGGAGGCGCCGGGCCCGCGGCAAGGACAGGCGCGCGCCGCCCCGGCAGAGAGAGAGCCCAGGAGCGGGCGGCAGCCAGCACGAGCTCTCCGACGCCGAGAGGGAGTCGGTATCGGGCCGGGGGGGGGGGGGGCGGGAGGCGGAGGCGGGCCCCCCGCCCCACGCCGAGCGGGAAGCGGAATCGGGCCGGGGGAGGGGGTTGGAGGTGGAGGCGGGCCCCCTCCCCCCTCGTCCTCCCCCTCGCCCCCTCAGCCGGCCCTCTCCTCCCCCCGCTGTGCCTCCAAGTGTCACATGGCGCACACAGCGTCGCCGATCCGTCCCCAGAGAAGTGTAGCACAGAGTTAATCCATGGACTCGACCCGAAGTCTGACAGACAGAGGCGGAGGCTGGCGTCATGGCAGGAGAGCCCAGCATAGAAACGACGAATCGGATCGGCGAGCCAGACGATTCGGGCCGGAGGGAGCCAGCAGCACCGTCGGGAGAAGTCGAATCGGCAGAAATCGGCGGCGGCTAGCGACATGTAGCAGCTGAAACAGCGACACATAAAAGACTGAGTCCGAAATCGAATCGAACCGAATCGGACTCGGCATCGATCGACATAGAACCGAATCCAGTCGCAGGAGTCGAGCCGAGCCCTGCTGAAAGGGCCAAATGCTGAAGAGAGAGGTCCGGTAGGGGCGGCAGGCGCCTCCGACGGGGACGGTGACCGCTTCTTCGCAGCCTCCATGGGGGGGCCAGGAGAGAGAACCTTCTGTGCAATTCATGGGAGCCTCCGGTGTCGCCTTGCTGGCTCTACCGACGCAAGCCGACGCCAATCGACGCTAGTCGGCGCTACGCAGCGCTACTCCACGCTACTCGACGCTAAATCTGCGCTTTCTCTCATAGCCAGCACACGCTGATGCAGAGGCTGGTGCACCCTAAATCGGTGTCTCTCTTACGCTAGATCGGTGACCAACCGCCAGCGCACGCGAATGTAGTCTATAGGAGGCCACATGCGAACCCTACCCCGCCACCCCGCGATTTCGAAGGAGGGGAGGTGAGGTTCACTCCGTTCGGGACCTCCCGAGCGAAGTGACCTCCCCCCTCCCCCCCCTGGAAACCGAAGGGGTGGTGGGGTAGGGTTCGCACGTGGCCTCCGACTCCAGCGACGGAAGGCCGAGGGCGCCCAGGGTCGCCACTGGCTGCAGCCGAACCCAGGGAGGGCCCAACACCCTGGGCGGCGCGCCGAGGGGGGGAGGCGAGCTGGGGCAAAACATCCCTGAAAACGGCGGGGGGGTCCCGGGAGGCCCCCCCCCACACGGCCGAACTTCGCAGGAGCCCCTCCCGGGTGGCTTTTCGGAGAATGCTCAGAGAAGGCTCCTCGGAGCCTTCTGAGAGGGAGCCGCTCCCTCTGCCTCCCCCCCATGAGCGCGCCGGCGGCAGAAGAGAGAACCCCTGCTCCCAGGGTGGCCACACTCTCCACAAGTGTGGCAGGGGACCGAAGTGTATACACAATGCTTTTTCTGGTCCCGCACTGAAATTCGCACAGGAAAGAGGATCGCGGTGCATACGGGATCCTGATGTATACATGTTTCGTCGTTTGCCCGGGACAAGGGGGCAAAAACATACACCACACTGCCCCGACGTCGTCCCCGACCCTCGCAAATTCCTGTTTGAAAAAAGTCACGGCTCTGGTAATGTATGTGCTCCAGTTTTCGAGGTTGGCCACACCCTCCACACGTGAGGGGCAAAGGTGGGGATATGGGGGACTCGTACAGGGGAGGGGATCTCGACCTGCAGTCATCTAAAAGTCGACGACGTATCGGGGACATGCCCCTTGGTGGCGAATCCGCGTACTCCTAAAAATGGGGTTGTGCCATCGGGGCCCGTGTCGGCGATGAGTGGGCGATTGGGTGTCGATGCATCCCCCCTGAGCCTATCCCCTCGCCACTAACGTTGCCCCTGAATACGGCATCCGTCCAAAAAAGCTTCGGCAACGTTCCGCGGTCTGCTGGCGTTGGGATCTACAGGGCACCACGACGGTACGGGGCCAACTGCTTGAACGACTGCCAGCCATGAGAGAAACGCGCTCGTGCAAGCCTGCCTAAACTCATGCTCAGAATGCGCACGTGATGCTTCCCGTTGAAAAGAACCGTCCGACCGTCCAGGGGGGGGGGCACATCACGCCGTCCCCTGCTCTGCCCCATAATGACGGCTCGCTGGTCGCTAACAATAAACATTGAGCTGTTGGGGCAAAGCGCGAGCCCGTTCCCGTTTGCACCATCGGTCTATAGCCTGTGTCGCTCATGAATAACACTGCCTCACCTCATTCGTGGATCACACTACGCATGACACGACAGTGTGCATGGATCTATCAGGAGGCTCATGGATCCCAATCCACGCTGCTAAAATCAAACGCACAGTTATCAGAGCGAACTATCCGGCGTTGATAGTCCGCAACGTGCATGTGAACCAATCGTCTGCCAAAACCACGACATACTGTGCCAACATTTCCAATCAAAATTATTATCCTGGCCAACTACCAACCATCCAGCAACGCCTTCCGGCCAACCAAGATGACTGTCTTCCAGAATGTTGAATACGTTTACAGCTGCTCGTTCCCCTATGCTTGAGAAACATGTGTACCATCTCACGGTCGCGTCTCTCCCGAGGCTCGTACATGTTGAATAGTTTCCACGACACAAATTTTCGAAAAGAGCTTCGACACTCTAGTACGCGCGGTGTGCGCAATCCAGACAGTATGAGTTAACCCGATGGTTGGTGCATTACCCAGATTGGGTTCTTCATCATGTATAGTGCGCGCTGGCACCGCCGCGTCAGTCATCGCTACCATGTGGCAACAAGAATATGCGTTCAATCGGACGCACACTCATAACGTGCGACCGAGCATATTGGGTCAAACGACTACAAAACATCACCTCAATGGTGAATGACGAAAACAACAATGCTGGCCAATTGTTTCGACTGGAGTGCAAATCCTTGCAACGCACCTGAAAACTTAGAGCAAACATTCCCCGACATGGACGTTCAGCGTCGGCACTGGAACCTCCTGGCCGCCGGGAGGAGACAGGGCAGATCTGGCAAGGGTGAACCTCCGGAATTGTGGGCGCTTCCCAGAAAAGACCGCGCGGGTTTCCAATGCAAAGTCCACATTGAGGTCGGGCATGTCCTCCTACAGGCCTATGTTGGACAAGTGCTAATAAACATGCAGAACAAAAACGATCAAGCATAGTAAGACAAATCCACAGAGTACTCTTTGACTAGCTTTGGATATTCCTCCTATGCAGAGACATGCCCGACTGAAGTCCACATGGCGCCGCATGGTCCTCAACAAAAAGGGGACCTGGTAATTATGTCCCTGGCCGCGAGCCCCGCGAAGTCGCTCCTGAAGGCCAACCCAACCTGCTGTCGTTGGCGGCGCGCAGAGGGGTGCAGGGGGAGGGGGAAGCCTTCTCAGAAGCAGACTGCTTCTTAGAAGGCGCCGGCCTTGCATCTATAGTTGAGGCCCGCGCCTTCTGAGAAGCAGGGGTGCTTCTTAGAAGCCTTCTCCCCTCCCCCTACCCCCCTCTGCGCGTGGCCGAACCTGGTATGTCCCCGGCCGCGAGCCCCGCGGAAGTCGCTCCCGAATGCCATCCCTACCTGCTGTCGAGGTACTCGGGCGGAAGAGGCCCGACGTTTACCAAAGGTGCGGTAGTGTGGCCGTCCAGCGAGAGCTGCCAGGCCCCCCACCGTCCATATATTCAAGGACCACAGGCGACAGGAACAGGAGCTCTCGGAGGTCCGTGCGGAGTCGACGGGTCGGCGCTGGACTCCCCCCGCGACGCCTCAGGCGCCGCCCCGAGAGATCGCCAACTTGCAACGCGCTGCTCTTCCAGCCCAGGCCGGGTGCGGCGCCCCCGCCTTGTCGGCGCCGGCCTTGCCGGTCGCGTGCACGATGCGGTCCTCGCCGGGCAGAGACGCGCCTCGCTCGAGCTTCTCCAGCACTCGGCTCGCTGCGCCCGGCCCGCCTCGCCGGCGGATCGCTTCGGCGTATAGGGCCTCGCCCTGCCGACCTCGCGCTGACGGGAATCGCGTCGCCAGGCACTCCTGCCGCCGCGGGTTTCCCACGTTTCGGCCTCCCCCCCGGGGGTGCACCCCTGGTGAGGCCCTCATGCCGCCGCGGACGATCTCGAGGCGTTCCAAAGTGCCCGCCGACAAGACCCCGAGGACCGACCCAGGGGGCTCCAGAGCCAGGCCGGCGCGGCCCACGAGCGCCCGAACAGCGGCCCCAGGGCGGCCGAAGTGCCGACAGAGAGCCCTTCAGGACGACCCACCGAGGGCCCATGACGCCGCCAAGGCCTTTCGAAAAAAAATCCACTCGTGACCCTGTCGCTTTTCTTTTTCTCTTGCGGTGTAATGCTGGGGGCAATGCCGGTTTTTCTTGCGTTTTTTCTTGCGGTGCAGTGCCGGGGACCCCGACACGGGCGCACCTCGCAGGCCCCAGCCGGACCCATAACGACGAGCGCGCCGACCTGCAGGACGGGAGCCCGGACGAAAGACGCTTTGCTTTCAACGCGTACAAAACGGATGCACGGTAGTTGGAAGGCCACGTCGACACCTTTCGAGCTCGGTAGGGCCAACGAGAGGTGGCCAGGGATGGACGGAAAGGGGAAAGACGCAAGGGTGACCCTGGAAAGCCGCTCATCCTTACTAGGCGCTCTACCGGTAACTCGGGACGATCGGCACGAGAACGGAAAGAAGGAATTACCCTGTGACGTACCCAACCCTTTCTATACATGTGGCGATTATACTCAGGACCACTCAATGCTGACTGGCATTCTGAAGGACCCGCAATGCGCAGAAAGAGCACCCAACAAATGCTTTCAGAAGAGCGCAGCAAGAAATCACGTGGTGATACGCGTATGACGTACCTCCGCTGGGCCTCCCAGGAGCCCACGAATGTGGCGACAATTGCGCAGATAGCAAGCCCCCCAGGGGCGGCGAGGTCCCGTGGTGATCCGCGTCTGACGTACCTCCGCTGGGCCTCCCAGGAACCCACGAAAATGGCGACAATTGCGCAGATCGCAAGCCCCCAGGGAGGGCGAGGTACCGAGGTGATCTGCGTTGGACCCACCTCCGCTGGGCCTCCCAGGAGCCCACGAATGTGGCGACAATTGCGCAGATCGCAAGCCCCCAGGGGCGGCGAGGTACCGTGTTGATCCGCGTGGGACCCACCTCCGCTGGGCCTCCCAGGAGCCCACGAGAGTGGCGACAACTGCGCAGATCGCAAGTCCCCAGGGGCGGCAAGGTACCGAGGTGATCCGCGTGGGACCCACCTCCGCTGGACCTCCCAGGAGCCCACGAATGTGGCGACAATTGCGCAGATCGCAAGCCCCCCGGGGCGGCGAGGTCCCGTGTTGATCCGCGTATGACGTACCTCCGCTAGGCCTTCCAGGAGCCCACGAATGTGGCGACAATTGCGCAGATCGCAAGCCCCCCAAAAGGGCGGCGAGGTCCCGTGGTGATCCGCGTGGGACCCACCGCCGCTGGGCCTCCCAGGAGCCCACGAAAATGGCGACAATTGCGCAGATCGCAAGCCCCCCGAAGGGGCAGCGAGAGACCGAGGTGATCCGCGTGGGACCCACCTCCGCTGGGCCTCCCAGGAGCCAACGAAAATGGCGACAATTGCGCAGATCGCAAGCCCCCCAGAAAGCGGCGATCTACCGAGGTGATCCGCGTGGGACCCACCTCCGCTGGGCCTCCCAGGAGCCTACAAAAGTGGCGACAATTGCGCAGATCGCAAGCGCCCCAGAAAGCGGCGAGGTCCCATGTTGATCCGCGTGGGACCCACCTCTGCTGGGCCTCCCAGGAGCCCACGAAAGTGGCGACAACTGCGCAGATCGCAAGCCCCCAAGGGGGCGGCGAGGAAACGAGGTGATCCGCATGGGACCCACGGCCAACGAAAGTGGCGACAATTGCGCAGATGGCCAGCCCCCCAAGGGGCGGCGAGAGACCGAGGTGATCCGCGTGGGACCCACCTCCGCTGGGCCTCCCAGGAGCCCACGAAAATTGCGACAATTGCGCAGATCGCAAGCCCCCCATAAAGCGGCGAGGTACCGAGGTGATCCGCGTGGGACCCACCTCGGCTGAGCCTCCCAGGAGCCCACGAATGTGGCGACAATTGCGCAGATCGCAAGCCCCCCAGAGGGCGGCGAGGTACCGAGGTGATCCGCGTGGGACCCACCTCCGCTGGGCCTCCCAGGAGCCCACGAAAGTGGCGACAACTGCGCAGATCGCAAGCCCCCCAGGGGGCGGCGAGGAAACGAGGTGATCCGCATGGGACCCACCTCCACTGGGCCTCCAAGGAGCCCACGAAAGTGGCGACATTTGCGCAGATCGCAAGCCCCCCAGGGGGCGGCGAGGTACCGAGGTGATCCGCGTGGGACCCACCTCTGCTGGGCCTCCCAGGAGCCCACGAATGTGGCGACAATTGCGCAGATCGCAAGCCCCCAAGGGGGCGGCGAGGTCCCGTGGTGATCCGCGTGGGACCCACCTCCGCTGGGCCTCCCAGGGGCCCACGAAAGTGACGACCGTTGCGCAGATCGCTGCCCGACGGCACGAGGGAAGAGGACAGGGGAACACCGGAAACAGGCGAGAAGGAGGAGGGGAGGAGAGGGGAGGAGAAGGAAGGAAGGAAGGAAGGAAGGACGGGGCGACCACACTGCTCTATTCAAAACGATTACCCAACACCCCAACACAGGAGGGGTGGGAATTACGAATACCGACAGCACGTCTTGTCCCTTCTGAGCAAGACCCGCTGCGGGTGTCGCCGCGCACGCTGCCCACTCGAGACAAGGCAGGCCGCCTGCCCCGACGGCAGCCGCCATCGCGTTTTGCACACCACTCGAAGTACTTTTGGGGCCTTGACCTAAGGAACCCTCAATACGGAACGAGGCCCCTTTCATCCACAAGTTGAACTTCGATTTCCCATCGAAAACCAAAGGAAAACCCAAGGCAAACTGTAAAGCAATCAAGGAACGCGGAGCCCCTGCCCAACGAAAAGGGTTCCTTCATCAGCGCCCCGACTGTAGGACCTCGTAGCCGTCGATGTCCGTGCCAAGTTCGGGGGTCCAGAGTGAATGTGCCAAACATGTTTGCCTCACGCGCCCACGGGGACGCAGAAACAACATGCCAATGCTGTGTTGTCCTCCCCGGAGGCGCGTCCAAGCCCAACATCTAGTACATCCGTTTTGTGATACATCGTTTCCCGAGCGGTATGGTCAAAGAAGGCCCGCCACGGAGGATACACTGTAGGATTTTCTGCGCGACCGTCGCCCCTCAGAGGGCGACACACACACACATTCTGGGCGGACGCCGAGCCCACGCTCCCAGATCGCCGAGGCACTGTTTGGACAGCGGCGACGCAAGCGCACGAGACACACGCGCTGCGCGGCAGCAACAACAACAACATCATCAATATCAACAACGGCAGCAGCAGCAACAACAGCACAACAACAACAACAGCAGCAGCAACAACAACAACACCAACACCAACACCAACACCAACACCAACACCAACAACAACAACAACAATTACTAGCACGTGGGGACACACCGTTCTCACCAGTGCCAGGGTTTTCATAGGAGGCGGGCAATACCCCCACTTTGTGGGGGGGCCGGTTCAAGCTCTACCAAATTTCCAAACGACTCTTCGCCACCACCCACACCCAGCTTCCCGCCCTATGACGTTCGGACACTTCACTTCGTGGCATGCGGACGACCGTGGCTACTATTCAGGGCCCCGCGGCCGACGACGACGGCGTGCGCGCGCGAAGAAAAAACGAATGTGTCCCGCATGGTATTATTTGACAGGGATGATGGCCCTGGCAGGTGCGCAACCGTTGTTGCAGAAGTTCGAAAAAGTTGCTCGCAAAAGCCCGTTTGACAGAAATGATTAAAAAGTGTTGGGTTTCCTACGAATCCGCAAGAGCGCGCGGGATGAAATTTTGACAATTTTTTTGAAAAACCATTGGTTTTTTGATGTTTTTATGTTAAAATCGCTACGAAAACTAAGGTTTTGGAAGGATTTCGTCTTGCGCGCGCGAATGTCCACTTTACCTTATTTTTTGCAAGGGATTCTTGAAGTTTGGTTATGTTAGAACAAGAAATGTCCACTTTAGCTTATTTTTTGCAAAGGAAAACCGATCGTAACAACACAACCGGATCCGGACCAACCCGTTTTGCCTGAGACTTCCTCACGAAAATAATGAAAATGAGGCTGCGGCCTAGGCGCGGCGGGGGGGTCGCGCACCAGGGGTCCCAACAATAATTATTCTTTAGAAGTAATAATGTTCAACAACAACAACAACAACAACAACAACACCATCAGCAACATCAACAGCAACAACAACAGCAACAACAACAACAACAGCAACAACAACGACGACAACAACAAACACGTAGCAACCCCTCTGCTGGCCCTGGGCTTGGGCCGGCAGAGGGGTTGGCACACCGGGGTGTGCACACTCTCAGCCGGTCCCATCTGAAAGCGTTCGCGCGCCAGGTGCGCTTCTGCCTCTGCCGGCCCCCAGGGGTCCTTCCAGTCAGGCGGCCGCGCGCCTAGGTGTAGGAACGCCCTATAGCTGGCCCCGGGAGACGCCTCTCCCAAGCGGAGAAGTCCGCCAGAGTGTCTTCCACGACGGCGGTCGCGCACACCGGTGTGCCGACGCCTCTGCCAGCCCCGGGGAGGTCCCCAGGGAATTCTTAGGAATCCCAAGGGAATCCTTAGGAACCCTTTGAAAAACCTAAGAAATCCCTAGGGAATCCTTTGGGAAACCTAAAGAATCGTAGGTAATCCTAAGGAATCCCTTGGGGGTCCGAGGAAATCCTAAAGAATCCTAAACAGTCCTCAGGAATCCGATGGAATGGAATCCTACGGAATCCTAGGGAATCTCAAGGAATAC